GTAAGAAAGTTAATTAATTGCATTGTTATATTTTGTAAATTTCAGTAATATTCAGTTCCATTTTGCTGAGCATTGAGTTTGCTTAAGACGGATATTTTAATAAATAAAAAAACATATGCAAATGTATAAAATGTTTCAATTAATAATATTTTTCAGTTAGGCAAAGTGTTTGTTTTGTAAAACAAGCATCAGTTCCAGTGAGACCTGTGGATTATAAAACGTAGATTGTTGTGTATCTTTTCGAGAATTTGAATTTTTTGACACACAATTAATTCTTTTTATTTATAGCTTGATTTTGAGTATTTTTAAAGTAATAGTAATACTTAAACATTTTAGTAGTAAATGTTTGATAGCAAATAATAGGTGCGATTTTTGCTTACACTCAAATTTGGAACTAATTGTCAAAATACAAACAATAATTATTGCCAAAAAAAACTTTTTTAAAAGTTTTCAATAAACATTTTTAGTGATAGTTCTGTTACAGTTATGTATTAAATTGAATATTTATGAATATGCCATTTGAACTAATTTCTAAAATCTCTTTTTATTAAAAAGTTATTTTTGTTTTGAAGGTTCTTAATTTCATTAATTGGTATTATTGTTGCGTTGGCAACACTCTACGACTTGTCTATTTCATATTTTAGTTGTAATGAATATTTGAAGAATGCTAATCAAAATGGTAATTTTTGCCGAACATTATTCATATCATTACTTACTACCATAGCTATACTTGAGAAAACTTTTAAGGTTTAACAAGTATTAAAGATTAATAAAGTTTCAAGTTATACTATTATTAATTTATTTTTGTGAAATAAAAACAAAGGCTAAGACTATTATTTGCTGCAAAAATAACTAATCTTTAACATTTGCTTTCAGACTATTCAAAAAATAACTGAAAAATTATTTTATAAATTAATAATTTTTGCAATATTTGTTCGAAGAAACATAAGTGAAAAGTGTTGTTAATTCTGAAATGACTTTTGATTCAAAATAAAGGCAATTTTATCTTTCTGTGCTTTTGCATAGAAATTATAAAAAATGCACACAAAAAACAAAAATATTGAACAAGTTACATATTAAAAAATAATTTGAAATGAAATTTAAGCGATTTCAACGCAACTTTTAATGGCATTTTCTGTAATTCGAAATACTAAAGATATATTAGACGTGGCAAATACGCAAAAATCTGGTCAAATAGGCCCGCTACACTTCATGCGTTTTATCAGTATGATTTGGGTGGTAGTTGGGCATTCTTCGCTCCTTTTTATGATTCTGTCTCGTAAGTTTACTCAGTTGGTGAATAATAAAAATTTTATGTATTCTTTAACACTTTTTGCAAACTTTAATACTTTTCCGATTTATTTAATAGACCAAAATTTTTCGTGAAAAGTTTCCGATTTCTGAATGCATTTCAGACTTGTGTGATGACTTGTGTGATAAACACAACTTCGTTTATTTTTAGCCTCTAAAATATAATAACTGTAATAATAAGTAATAATATAAAGTTAGTAAATGCTTGCAGTAATTCGCTTTATTTAAATAGTAAGCAGCTTCTGTGCATATGCTAATTTTTTTGTGAATAAATTTCTTGGCAAATTAGTTTCAATGTCTTAAGCGTTTTTGTGAAAACAAAATTATAAATTTCAGTCCTTTAATTAATAAAAACGTTTTTTTATTAACATAAAATCAAAATTCTCACTACTTTAATTCTTATTTTTTGGCTACGAATTTCATTTTTGAAGAAAAACAAAGCTGAGAATATTATATATTTCAGCAAATATCTTAGACAGCAAGGAGGCACTCAAAGATTTAGGAGCACAACTGCTCACAAATGCGTTTTTCGCTGTGGATACATTCTTCTTCATGTCAGGATTACTTCTAGCATTTTTGTGGTTTAAAGAATACCGTACAAACAAAATTAAATTAAGTTCTACTACAAGTTGGCTTACATTTTACCTACATTGCATAATACGGTATCACTTTCAGTTCATTTGTACTAGAATTTGAATACAATATTTATATCTAACTGTAATAATATCTTTATTCTCTTTACGTTAGCTTTTAAAATTTTATTCATAGTTAGTATGCTAACTAAAAAATTGTAATTAAGTTAGTAGTACTTTTTCGAGTATTTACATGATTTTCACCTGATGAATACATAACTCTTAAATTATGCAAAGAATTTCAAATATTCCAAATTTTTAATTATAAATAAAATTTTTTGCTTTTACTTTCAAGCAGTTTTACTTAGGCTTTCTCCACCTTACTATATAACAATAGCGTTCTACACATTTATATTCAAGATTTTACTTGTTAATATGCCAGTTTTGCTGTTATCAGCAAATGATTATTGCGAGGAAATTTGGTGGACTACTTATTGCCCCAAAACAACACTAATTTTACATATTTTTATATGTCAGTGATTTTGTTCATTACGATAAACAGGTTATTTCATATTACAAATTACTATAATACTGTATTTATATAAAATTAGTCAAATTATCAAAATTTGTAGTCTTTTTGTGAAATGCATAATATGCAGTGCAGTGCGCGACAAAAAATGTAAAATTAGTGTTGTTTTGGGGCAATAAAAGAATGTATTCAGTATAAATAAGATTTTAAAATATACAAATTAATTAAGAATGTTAAGATAAAATGAGTGACCAGTTCAATATCTGTAACAAATTAATGACAAATTTTGATATTTAAGTATCGTAATTTTTCAGTGTTACACACTATCATGTTATTTAGCGGTTAATTTTCAATTTTATTTATTTGCACAAATTTGCTCGAAACGTTAGCACTGAAACCGATTCTTGGATTTTGTATAGCAGGACTTCTACTTTTTTCTACACAATTTAAATTTGCAACTGCATATAAAGAATATTTTCCACCTAGTGATTTCAGTGGTGTCATGGATCCAAGAATGGGTCCAGCAAGGTTGGTTATCTAATTATTACTGAATGCAAATTTTAAATTGCTTTCAATTTTTCTGGAAAGCGCAACGCTTTTTAATATTAGTAATTATCATTTTATCCAAAAATCTACATCAAATCATAAAGTATTTGAAATTTAAGCTTAAAACTACCAGTCAAATTAAAAAAAAACAAACCAATTATCGATAAACTTTAGAAACGATAAGTTTCCAAGACATCTAAAGCATTACATTTAAGCCGATATCGGTTATTAATTTATGACGCACCTTGGATTAGATGTCAAGTGTATATTGTAGGTATTCTTGTTGGATATTTATTGCAGACAAAAAAAACTCTTCGAATACCAAAGGTCGCTTTTCAGAAGTATTTTTAATGAAAACTAGAAATACTTCAGAAAACACTTATTTCGGAAGTATTTTCTGAAATATTTCAATCTTAAATTGAATTAAATCACAGTCACATGCAATTTTGCTTTACAATTTTTTATTGGTTTTGGTTTTGAAATTAATTATTGAAGACTACTGCTTTGACCTCCTTAGAAAAAATGCATATCCGATAAGTAGTACTACGATTTAGCAAGTATATGAAAATATTACTTAGACTTTTGCGGATTTTCAAAATTTAATACACATATGTTACTTGAGTCATACTTTATCTAACTCAAAAAGTTGAGTATAATTTGGCATATTCATTACAAATTTCATCTCTCGATCAATTTCTAAGTGTATTAACCAATTCTTTCAACAAATTTATTAAAATTTTTTACAGCCCATAAATACAAAATTGATGCATCTCACAACGTTTTCAAAATTTATATCACAGATGTGCGATATGTCCCTCCCAAGTGCGTTCATATAGTCCACTTCATTTCATCTGCCCGTTTGCCTAATACGCTGGCATCTGCACATGGACAGCGTTCGAGTCAGTGCGCTTTCATGAAACACTGAAATTTTTTGTTAAGCTTGCTTATAAATTTTTAGAGGAAGTTTCGTTATAATTTTGAGAAAAAAGAAGGAAAACCCAAACCTTCGCATCAGACAACGAGCAATCTGTTGGCAACGTAATATAGCACGACAGCAACGGCAGTATCCTGAAAAAACAAAACAGTGAGCACGTTTGCATGAAAAAAGATTTTCATTTTGATTTTTTAAGCGTATTCTACCAAATTATTTCTTTTTTAAATTGAAAAAGAACACGTATATGACTACAAAAACTTACCGACCAGAACGTGGGCTGTCGTGCTACATGTTTCTTTCACGCGACGATTGTTGCAAATGGTTCCTCATATGAAGCAACGGGCATGGGAGGAGATTGCAGTCTGAAACTGCATTAGAGATGATAAAAAATAATTTTTCTCTCTGCATTTGCAATTCAAATATTGTGATGCAAATGTACACTGTGCAGATAAAATAACTTACAAACTTTCTCATTCAGCACAACGTACAGATGAGACACGAGCACTCGTAGCTTGCCTTCCGATCCAGGGTAATCTGCCAATTTCGGTGCCTCATGTCTAGTATTGCACCGATTCCTGGATGGAAGTGGGCTCCTTGCTGGGCTTCATCATGTTTCCACGCTGTTACCGTTGCAAATGATTCATGTATGGCAGCAACGGGCAGCGTCGGAGATCGTAGTCTGAAATTGCTTAACAGATGATAAAAAAGAATTTTTTCTCTGCATTTGCAATTCAAATATTGTGATGCAAATGTACATTGTGCAGATAAAATAACTTACAAACTTTCTCATTCAGCACAACATACAGATGAGCCACGAGCACTCGTAGCTTGCCTTCCGATCCAGGGTAATCTGCCAATTTCGGTGCCTCATGTCTAGTATTGCACCGATTCCTGGATGGAAGTGGGCTCCTTGCTGGGCTTCATCATGTTTCCACGCTGTTACCGTTGCAAATGATTCATGTATGGCAGCAACGGGCAGCGTCGGAGATTGTAGTCTGAAATTGCATTACAGATGGTAAAAAAGAATTTTTTTTGAAACTTCAATTGCACTGAGCGCACGATGGGTGGACTAGTAAATAATGAGCTTAATCCACTCGGTTAGCCACATCCTGAGGTTCAGTGTTTAAATTACTTGGTTTGTAAGAGATTACAAATCACAAATTCGGAGAGTGTTCATGCCATCATTAACGCTAAAAATATTTGACATGCAATCAACATACCAAGTTTGTGAATCACCAGGTAAAGGGGTGATAACAGCTAAATCGAGCGCTGAAAATGGTGAAAATGTGCATTTATTACAGTAAGTTGTTCTTAACAGAAAAAAGTGATATTCATAAAAATAGATATGTTGTTTCAGCATAAATTGTAGCAGCTAATAAACAATTTTAGTTGGTAGAAAGAAGCTTACTGGCATCATCGAGAATCGCTTCCGCCACGTTCTCGCCATCGGTGGAACCATCTGGGTTAACCATCTGGGTTAGTTCCACCTTCTTCCTTGCCTGGCCACTGAAATTAACTTTCCTCTGACCAAGAAAGGAAATGACTAAAACGACAAAATCGATTCCGTCAATATTATTGTTATTACAAAAAATCAAAATATGAAAGAGCAAAAATTAACTCACTGGTTCACGATACCCATTTGCCAAACAATCATGATATCCGCGGACATGAACCATTTCTGACAGCATGCCGTCCAGACCAAATACCGAAGCTGTGCTTGACCCGAAAATTGTTCGGATGCGACGTTCGGCATCGTGCTACACAGCACATACCGACACCGCATGGCACGCTGATTCCAGGTGCAATTGGTGACGCATTCCTCGAAGGAGTCCCAACTCTCCCTCAAAAAGTCAGTGGCCAACAATCGGTCGGCCGGCCCCTGCATCTGAGCTTAACATTACAGCAAGGGTCTGGAACAGTAGGTTTGGAGCTGTTTTGCTGATCAATAGGTTTGGAGCCGTTTTGCAATTTCCCACAGATATAATACACATTAATAAGACATTACATGAAAATTATATCAAAATCAAGTTTTTTTTTGAGTTGTATGCATTAAGAATTGTTCAAAAGTGGGAAAAATTAGAATGGAAAGTTTTTTCAGAAAATTTAAACTTGGGAATGAATGAGGCAGGCAGTTTTAGCCTGTAAAGATGAGCCAAAACACGCGTGTTTCGCTGTCAGTTTGTTTTGAATATGTCGTCATTCGAATTCGGACATTGAAAAAACTTTTCTTGAATTTTTTTCACTTGTTGTCAGGATGTCACATATCACTATGTTATTACGGTTTCGGAGATGGAATTCGAAAAGTTCTATCACTAACTGGTTCATCCTGACATTGGTATCTTGCGAAATTGCAACATGCTTCGCAAGACTACGCATAATGAGGATCTTTTTCTGAGAGCTGTTTTTTTCCATGTCAGGAAACATAACCAGTCATGTTATTCTAGAAATAGTTTGATTACGCAACATTTTGAGACAGCAACTTTTTGACGATTTTCACCATAGTTTTTGCTATTTTCCGTAATCATTCGGTTGCAATGTAGAATTTCGCAGATAAAGTTGACGTTTAATATTTTTTTAAAAGATGGGAAAAAATTACGATGTGAATATAATGGATGTCGAGGCATACAAAATGTATAATCGCAATTTAGAAACAACTTTTTCAATTCTTTCTCAGAAAGGATTCACATGTAAAACTTAATGAATAAGTATTTCATTACTTTGTGCAATAAAATCTTTGCAATTGCATACAAATGAAAAGCCCAATAAACAACAAGCATTCAGCAAGGAATTGGAAAGTTTAAGTTTTTCTTCGTTGACAGTTTTTCAGCTTGTAAAAGAACAATATTCAAAGAATTTAAAGTTTCAAGCTGTGAAAATTTACATAACAGTACTATGCATAGCTTAAGTAAACGTTAGCGAAGCTATTTGCAAGATTATCAAGATTGTGATTAATCATGTTTTTATTATTAGCATTCTTCATATATCAGTTGGTCTATCTGCATAATTATCATTATTTACTTGTATTAATGTTTTCATCTATAACTCTTACTATCATTATTATTTTATTAAATGCTGACTTAATTTAGAAAGTGGGAAAGAAATCAGAGCACTGTATGTGAGCAATTTTTTTACATAAATTTTGATAACCTCCAGGAATTCAATGATCGTTCCGCCTGCATGGGAATGAAATAACGGGAGATGAATGATAGACTGAGTGAGTTCAACTGCTTCATTTTATTTCATTAACTGCTTATTTTACAGCACATAGCGTAATGGAAAAATTAACTTAGTCATCTCACTTATCTCACGCAGCCGTCCCACTTAATCAACTTTATAATACTGAAACTTGGTGTATTTTGAATTTGAGTAAGGAAACAAAACACTGCAACGTATAGATTTCTCACAAGCTAAGCCATTCATTTTGTTTGAAAATTAGACAAATCTCTGTCTCATTTATTTCCACGTCAAAAATTATCTTTCTTCTCATTTGGAGCATTTATCGTCTCTTCCAATGTATTTCACGTACAAAGTGCTGCTGGCAAATCTACGACAACTGCTTTGTTAAGAAGTAGTCACGCAGTTGCGCTACCAACTGACAGCTTCGATGCTTTATTCAAGAAAAAGTTTGAAACAACTGAAATTTGCAACATTGACACTAATAGACGCAGCCTTCAATCTTACGGACTCTATCTAATGGTCTGCTTGTCTCTCGGCTAGTCATCTCCTCGTTATCTACCCATCTCTCTGATTCTAACTGTAATGCAATTTTGTTTTTTTGATGCTGTCAGTCTGCTCTTCTCGTTATGCATTTGAAGTAGAAATATTTCACTGTTAATCTAAACACGAACTGCTCACTGCTGCAACACAGAGATTTGTCTGTTAGGTTCTCTACTTTGTGCATAAGATACTTGTCGACCTCAAGTCTAATTTATAACTGTATTTTTGTAGACTGAGTAATATCTGTAAACTGTATGTGTTGTTTTTTCTTGGTTACATCATTCTCGTTATCAAAAATGGTACATGTCCGAATTTGAAGTTCAAATTTTAACGTATTTTTGTTTCATATGGGAAATCGCAGTTTAGTATTATAATGTTCACTTTGCTGAATGACTTTTAGTGTAACCTTAGATATTCACAATAAGCAGTATAGTGCTAAGTGAACGATTCTCTCAGTCTGTTTGTTTATTTTCCTTTACTTGATGTTATTACTGTATCAGCTTTCACTTTTTATAATCTTTCAAAGCACAGAATTATTGTTTTGCACGTTTGTTCTGCAGAATTGCGGTGTAGCAGTAGCAGATCAGAAAGTTATAATCTTAATAATTTTTTGTTGTTTAAAACATAAAATGGTAGCTTGAAAATCTTTGCAATGTTTCGTTGTGTTTTTCTTTCACAACTCTTTAGATGTCTTAGTTTGTTTTTCAATTCTGTTATCGCATAGTTAATAAAATGGCACGGAATTCTTGACTATATGGAGGAAATTAGCGACGGAGATTCTGAAACTGCAAAAGTGAGATATAGCAGAATCATGAATTAGATTTGTGATCAAAACTTTTGATGCCAATCGCAACTTTTACTCCGAACTGTAAACAATTGTAAGCTATGCAAAGAATGTGTGGTAGAAATTTGATATGAATCAAAAGTTCTTGTCTGTCTGTGCTTATATCTTTGCATGTATCTGTGTCTAAGAGTGAGTTAGATGTCTATAATTATATTTATGTGTGATCGCATAACTATGTGATTTGGAGTCTGTGAGTTCTGCACTCACTTGTAGTGTATAGTTTCTGCACTGAATTCCTGAGACTGAGTGTTTGAGTGTATGCACGCATGCGTAGATCACATGTTCATATGCTTACGTGATGTATAAAAATTGTACGATTATAAAAATAGTTAAGCTTTCAAGCATTTTTGGAGTAATAGTAATAGCCCTAATCTCTCATTCTCACTATTCATATTGTTAGCTTCAGAAGGAATCTGAATCGCTGATTACTTTGGTTAAGTAGAACATGCTTTTCATGTAATCATCTTTGCAATCTTCTAAATATTTTGGGAAGTAAATTTTCCGGAAAGTAATATGGCTGAGTAGCATGTAGTTAAATTATCATCACTGATGTTCGAAAAAGAATTTCTAGACGGTAGCTAAAACTTCTATTGTCTGAATTCGAAAACACTGCCTGGCTGTTCATAAACAATAATTTTGTCAGCATGATTTAAACATGAGTTTAGAAATCACAGTAATAGGCTATCTATGGACCATTCTAAGAGATTACCAAAAGTTGAAGAATTTCCTGTAAATAAAATATCACGCATGTTCAGTGCGATAAAATCAGCTGGTTTCGTTGATAACTTAATTTTCTACTGGTTTCACGAAAGAGACTGCATTAAGAAAACAAGCAAGATCACAAAGTTTTTTCAGAAGAGCGCATAGTTCAATGAATCATTTCATTTCTCCATCTGAAAATGTGCATTCATTCGCTGTGTGCAGAGTTTATTTCAGTGTAATACAAATAATTTTAGATTAATGCGAATTCTTTTGGCTAAAAAACTGTACTTTGGGGGATTTCAAATTCCTTCAAAAATGCATTTGAGAATCATCCAAGGAATTCCAATTTTAAATTCCTCATTTTTCTGAAGAGAAGCAGAAAATGCGTTTATTTTCATTACAACACATAACTGTGCGCTCTATCACATATGAGATGATTTCGCGTGATGCTCAACCAATTTTATTTTGTGGATCATTTTGCGTATATAATTTTTGAATAAAGTTACTCTCTGTGTGTTTATTTTCTGCTCTGAAAATCGACAGCAAATCAGTTCTGAATTGATCGGATAGCACTGAGTAGAGTTGCTAGTTTTATAAATTTGCAATTGAGCTTTTTTGTTTATTTTTTCAAAACTAATTTTAAGCTGGGATGAAAATTTGCATAGATGGAATGGCAAGAAGAAGATGGGAGAAGCAAGCGGAGAAAAAGGGTGAGGTTAGGTGCTGTATGTGATATGATAATGTTCGGTTGAGTGTTTCTTAATTAGATTGGGTGAGATCGGTGGTACTGAATTATAAATAGTGGGCTGAGTATAAATGAAGTAATTATATGATCATTTTAGGAGAAATGAATAAGTCAGACTTTCACTTGCGTAAACGACTTTCTTCTTCGCAGTCGGATAGCATTGTTGCATCTTCATCAAGACATTCTTCATTTTCATCAAGGTGGATTAGTGTCGTATACTTTCTAAATAC